TTGCTGCAGTCAGATTCAGTAGTATTGCTACGGATGATAAGAAAAACAAATTTTACACTGGGCTTTCTCTGCAGCAGTTTGAAGTTTTGTGGGACTTTTTAGATGATAATAAAAATTGCCTCAGAATATGGACTGGAGAGGATACTAAAATAGGACCAGCTTTATCTAAAAAGCAATTATCTCCAAAAGATCAGCTGTTGTTATGCCTTATGCGTCTTAGATGTGGATTTTTGGAGGAAGACTTAGCATACCGTTTTAATGTTAGTCAAGGGTGGGTATCCAGAATAATAATAACTTGGGTCCAATATTTATATCACTACTTTAAAAAATTGGATATTTTTCCTTCCAAAGAAAGACTTAAAAATAATCCACAACCCAAAGTGTTCAAAAAGTTTAAAAATATTAGAGTGATACTTGATGGTTCCGAAGTGAATACACAGAAACCACAAGATTATCGTGAACAAGGAAATATGTACTCTAGTTATAAGGCACACTCTACTTTCAAATTTCTTTTGGGAATTATACCTACAGGAGGGATTTGTTTTGTATCTGAGGCATTTGAAGGATCAATAAGTGATCGTGAAATATTTGTCAAAAGTGGGTTGTTTGATAAACTCGAATACGAAGATGCAATCATGGTTGATAAAGGATTCAATGTACAAGATATTTGTAATAAAAAATGTGTTACAGTTTTTATACCCCCTTTTCTCAAAAATAGACCACAGTTGACCAAAGAGGAGGTCCAGTTGACAAAAAATATTGCCTCTGCTAAAATTCATGTAGAAAGGTGTGTTGGTGCTATGAAGCAGTTTAGATTATTGCAGAAAACTCTTCCGAAAAATCTCATTCCTATAATATCACAAACAGTTTTTGTAATTTCCTGCCTAGTTAATTTAAGAGAGCCTTTGGTTGCCTAAACATATTGGTTGTTCAGAAAAACTTTCTATTGATAGGTAGCCCTATGATGTATTTTTTTTTCATTTCTATCTTTTGTAACTAGTATTATTTTTTCATTGTTTCTTATCTCATTTCAAGTACCCATATATGATGTACCTACTGATTGAATCATCATGTTTGTTCAAAATGTAAATATTGTATAATGCATGTATTTTAGAAATAAAAATGTTTTAAATTCAATGGACTTTTTTTTTATACATGCCCAATTGAACAAATGAGTTTGAGATTGAAATATTGAAACTGTTGACACTTTTAATTCAAAAACATTAGAGCATCACTCTACTTCATGATATATTGTTATTGCACAAGTACTTTTGAATATATTTGAAAAATATATAAAAATATACCAACCCACCTGCATAATATGTTTATTGACAACATTCCATCCATTCTCATCAGCAATGATTCAAAAACAACCCAGTTTCAAAAATGTTTATTCTGGCAAAATTTGTTATAAAATATAAAAGTCAAAATTTATAAAGGACTTTCTATAACGAAGAGAGCTGAATTTCTAGGGAGCCTCATTTCCAGAAATTCTGGTATGAGTACCCCTTCATGTATAGAAGAAGCTTTTGTGAAAACTTCTTCTATAAAATTTGTCTCCAAAGTAATTCTTCCAAACAATACACCCTTTGGAGTCCAAATAATGAAGTCACACCAATTTATTTCCAATATAGCCATGCTTGTTTGAACTTGATAAAAGTAGGCATGATTTTCTTTCAATTTCATTTTGTTGTTCTCAATTCTATAACATACATTCTTATCCAGAATCTCCATAGGACTGCAATTCCTTAAAACATAAGGACATTTGATTTCTATCATACCTTCTAATATGCCATTTTCATATACAAGACCATCAGGACTGCAGCCTATGCCTGGATATTTCGTATTCATTATGAAACCACATTTTTTTCAATTCATATAATTTATGATGATTTTGATAACAAACGAAAGCATCCTGTTCATGTTCCCTTCTCCATTTTATTGCTGGTATGTATTCCAAATTTTCAGGGCTTGCCCACATTTTTTTATGGATTAAATTTTTATAGCGCTTTGCTACAAAAAATGGTTTCATTTCAGAAGCAGTTATGAACATTCTTCTGTAAAGGAACCATTTATCACAATTTTGTTGATTACAAAGTTCATGCAAACCATCTTGAACATACAAACTTTTGATAACAAATCTCACTCTTAGCAATAAATCAATCAATAAATGTTCATCTAAGTCATAATCATCATATTTGATAGATATCAAGTGTTCAAATGCACTGTTCATATTGTGATGATGAATTACTTCTAATAATTTGACATTCAAATCATATGCATCTGGTGTTCTGGGATACCGTCTTGGATCGAACGATTCAAATCTTCTCTTATTCTCTGTCACAGTAGAGTGAGGACTTGTATATTCTGCTGCTAAAACTGATTGAGGATTATTTTCCAACAAACGACCCTTATTCCAGGTTTTTAATGTGGATGTGCTTGTTGGTGGGTCGAATTTGTATGTTAAGGTGTAATCTTCTAGAGCAAATAACAGAGAAGCCACATGAGAACAGGTTTTTCCCATTCCTGCTTTGCATCCACAGGCAGCATCTATGACACTACTTGATTGTTTGCTCAGAACAATGAATGGTTTGTGAATTTGTTTTTTGTAGCTGGCTTGAACATCAGATTTCAAATAATAAAAATCATCATCACTTGCATCACTCATATTCATGACATGGCCACTTTTAAAGCTCAGTCTCCCTCGTCTCAGTGCCTTACTATTACATCCAGTATCCACATACTGATCTAATTGATCTTCAGAATCTGAGGAATCTGGCTGCACTGATGACCCATATTGCTGTTCCACCATCCAAGAATGGATCACTGGCAAAGAGAAACTCCTTGGTATGGATACTGAAGGAAACTGATTCCATGAACAGTTCATAATATTGTGGGTGACATCACTGGTAGGTTGAATCGAAGAATAAGTCCCAAAACGTTTTTGTTGATACCAAATAACTCCATCAATTCCAACATATATGTTTTTGTCATTTCCTGAGGCTATACAGTCACGAACTCTGTAACAAAAAAAAAGGATATTTAAAAGGTTATGATTTGAATCCACTATTTTCATCAAATGGGTGGCTTTTTTATATATTGTTTTCAGAGTTCTTTGAAAAATTGATAATAATGCAATAAAACATGACTTGATATGTCTCTAAACTAAAACTTAACACCTTAACACATTAATTTAATCGAGAAGTTCGAAAAGATCTCAACCAGTATCTATACCTACTCAGATTTATTATGTACCTACTCGCAAACTACTTCTTGCTGATTTTTACAAAACAACTTGTTTATGATTCAATGTAATAGATATGTGGGGAGTTCTAAGTCCAATTATTTATGAAAAAATGAAATTCACAAACATACCTCTTCACCAAGTTCTTCTTCAGTCCACCAACAGGTAAATTTCTACAAGATAACCATCTTTTAAGATCTGCTACACTGTGATCTTCCAGCCTAGAATATTTTAGGCTGGCTCCAGGTACATCATCTTCATTGAGAATATTCATATTGTTCAACTAACTCCCACAAAAAATTAACACTCTATTCACTCTGAAGAACTGCAGAGAAATGATCCATAACTGAATATTCCCAGACAAATATCTATACAGGTAGCTAATCCCTTGGATCCACATTAAATTGAAATTAGGATAGGTATATCTGATTTGCTTCCTAGGTAGGTACATCATATCACAATTACACTTCAATCCGGGTGTTTCAACTCAGGTGCAAGTGCAGATAATCGGATTATTGCTTGGTTACTTTATTCACCATTGAATTCCCAACGATTATAACATTTAGGTAGGTATCCAGAAGTCCAAACATTAAAATAATACTAAAAATCTTCATGCACCAAATGTTGTTATTTTTTATTTTGACTGTTGACAATGTAATGTTGACATTTGGTGTATGCTGGTGTCACTGAAAATGGCCTAAAAACACCCAAATTTATTAATTATTTTTACAAAATATGATTGTCGCAGGTGAGAGATTTTTGGATTTTGGTGAACCCTAATGTATTATCCACCTAATCTATAGAAAATGTAGGCACAAAACAGCCCAATAATGATACATTTTTAAATTAACAAAACCCTGTACTACATGCATTTCTTATGGAAAATGTTTCGCGGTTTTCACAATGTCCACACGGACCCCTGGCGCCGCGTAGTGAGTAGAAAGGGCGACTGGTAGTAATAAGGTAAATTCATCTGTATAAACAGGTCTACTTTCGTCTTATTACTTATCTTATTTCGTATTTCATCTTATTTTCTGTTTGGTTGGTCCCATGTTTGGCAAAAACCCTCTTAATGTATTACTTATTTCTACAATAGTTTCCTTAACACCATGTAATTCTTAGCGAATCAATCTTCATTCATTTAGTGTTCCCTGGAATATTTCATGTTCTTAGTCTGCCTGTGTTTTTTTTTTCTTTGCCTTTGGTAGGTATTCATGGTCATGATTCGCATCCTATAAAAAACAATCAGTGTTATGGACAAGATGCATAAAAAGTACAGGAAAATGGATGATAAGTATAATTATGAATTGCTGATGTTATTCGAGAACGTTACATACTTGCATAATTTTTCCTCTTTCTGATGACTTTTTCAGAGTAACTTCTGGTGTATCTTGGGACTCACTTTGTTAAACCTTCAATACAGTGATGAAATGAAATTAAAGTACAAAAATCAATATACCCCCAAATGTGCCTGAGATGTGCCAGAGTATTTCGATAATATTTCTCTTAGTCCATCTAGAACCAAAACCTGTGGTTGAACTCTTTGTTGAACCTAAAATATTTCATTTCAAATATATTAATTGCAATGGTTTCTCAACAAGTCACCTGTGATGTGCTTGCATAAATTAATTCATTGTCTGTCGAGTTGTCAATCTGAATGTCTTCAAATAACTGAGATTCTTGAGGGACCTGAAATATAATGTTTCTGGTCACTTGTAATGCATATACATCAACCAATATTATATTTCACCCCACACTAACTACTATCAACACCTTCGAAGAATGTTTTTCCCAAGATACCTAAAATTTCAATTTCCCAATCAGTTGAAGGTGTTTCCTTAGCTGGGCCCCCTCCGGTACAAGCATACTCTTTTTTATTATTCGCAGCTTTCTTCTTCACATTATACTTCAGCCCTAGTCTAAAAATTAATGCGATATAAATACCAAAGGATTGAAAAAAAAACACATTCACAACAAATGATACTTTCACTTGGAAATTACCTTTTGCCATTTCTCCACAGAACGACTGCCGAACCTCAAGGCATTCAACTCAGCTCACAAACGCTCCCACAATTTTCTATAGACTGCTTTTCAGCTGTATAAGGACAAATACCCACCCACTCATTGTGAAGTGGAAGTGTAATAAGAGTGTGCAGCAGAGTTTCATCAGTGATTTCATATTGTCGCAACTCAGATGGTTTTGGTAGATTATTTGGCAAACGGCGGGTCCACCACATGTCGCAACTCAGATGTTGCCCTCCTATGGATCGTAATTTGGCTACTCGCTTGGCTTGATGAGAGGATTTTGATCATTTCGCCACCCAACCATATTCATCCCCAAATGAAGAGTCAAGATAGTTTTCGTATAAAATTAACATTTATTGATTTAATGGGAAAGTCGTGAATAAATGCTTGCCACATGGCAAAGTAGCAGAGACAAACCATAGTAAATTACCAAACGGAACACAACACAAAACAACCATTCAGATAGAACATGGAAAAACAGTACTTACATTATGACATCTAACATGGGGTTGACCAGCAGGATCAAAGTCGGGAGGACGGTACACATTTTGGCAGCAACTCGTGAATTAGTAACTCAATTACGGAGTGAAGTAAAGTGTTATCGAAATGCATTATAATTCAATATGATAATCAAATAGTAATGAATTAGTTATCAGTAACCAGTAATGAGTAAATCAATAATAATGAATAATCAGTAATGAGAAATGGGTGATCAATAATTGGTCCGCTTATCGATTCGGAATCTATTTATATTTGGAATCGATGCTAACATTGCAATTTTCCGCAATGGCAATGCTCGATACCGGGCGTATAGCTTAGCCCGCATCAAATTTTACCGGAACTAGAGTCCATGAACTCCGCTTTGACCTGATCGGAACGCTGTACAAGATGTTTTATTTTGGAAAAGTCAATTTATGAATAAAGATCTAGAAATGAACGGAAGTTATTTCATAGACATTTGTATTTCTTGACAATATTATTTATTTTCATATTGAAGATTAGATACCTCACAATGTGATATTATATTTCATCAAGTAGACACCCATATCATCCCTATTCTGTTATTACATTTTTTCAAAGTAGATAATGTTGTTTCTGCTGAAGATTATATTATTTTAACTAGGTATTTTTATTACTATCATGTACGGTTCCCTTGGAATAAGGATGGAGAGAAGATGGTGAAATCACCGATTGTGTTTTGTTTCGAACAAAACGCTTACACCTCATTGTTCAACAATAATGGCGTGATAGTTCTCACTTCTCCGCAAGATGGCAAATTTCCCACAGATTTCTGTAATATCAACCTTACTTTTTGACAATTGTCAGAGTCACTCAGAGTGTATTTAAATTCAAAATTTCACTTTTCCCGATTTCCAGTGTTTTTCTTGTGTGTTATTTAAATCCCAGTTTCCAGTGTGTTTTATTTCGGTTTTCGGTATTCAGTTATTATTTTCGTCTTGTTACCTCAGTTTCAGTTCGTAGTTTTGTTTTTGGGTTGTTGTGTTGTTCGAAGATTTTCTAATGGTGGAAAAACGAAAAACTCGTAGGTGTGTGATTTGCGACAAAGAAAATGACCCTTTTTCAGATTTGTATGCAGTTTCGAAGTTAAGTTAGCGTGAAAAGTAAGTTGGCGGAATAGAATGGAATAGAATAGAATAATATATAATAGAATAGAAAAATAACAATTATTTCGACACATATATTCTGGAAAAATAAAGAAAATAACTAAAAACATGTTTTTCATCTTAGAAGCTACTGGTCACAATTATTAGATTCGTCTTCTTCATCCGTTTCTGGCAAAACATCCTGAATATCAGATTTATAGGGAATAGAAATGAACTCTTGGTGATAATTCTTTGGTATTGTAAGATTATTGCATAAACTTCTCAAACCCAAATATTTTTTTGAGGCTATTGGGAGTTTCGTTCTATAAATTCCGAGTGGCTTGATTGTATTTGTGGATGATCCTCTTTTAATTTTTTCAGGAAAACTAATTTTAAACTCTGGTGAAGAATCAGAAACTGAGGTTTTGCAAACGAAAGTTCCTGGAACGTCTTTGCTGAATGTAATTCTTCGCATCTGTCTGATTTTTACAGATGTTCCGGCTTCAGTTCTGTAAATTTTTGGAAAGTTTTCCTCAGCGAACGATTTATAATCCAGAAAATCTTTATACGTCAATGTTACCACGTCGTATGGTTTCGGATTGTGACGGGCATTCCGAATGATTGTTGGCCATTCCGAAGGTGCCTAAATGATTTTATGTTTATGAGTCTGCTCAATAGTTCCATGAACTGAATCTACTGGCAAGTAGGAGTGTCCAGGCAACAAAAAATTCATTGAGATTCTCTTCAAGTTTGAGGATGACTTCAAGAACCATTGGATTAGACATAGTACCTGGTGGTTCTTATTTTGGCCTGCACAACTGTCACAGTACAACAGCAATTCCTTGAAACTGCCCAAACCATCTATATGAGTCAAATATTTGTGAAGAATGGTACATATCTCATTAGCATTTCTCTTGCCATCAGATTCACCCCAGAGGTAGCAGATCACATTTCTGGTTATGCTCTAAAATGTGAGGTTGTAAACTGCATACTTGCTGGAAAACCCTAACAAAAAATTATCACCATTTGGGGTACCTAAGACCTTTTGTAAATCGAAACTGGTACATAGAACTGATCCATCTACCTTTCCTCTTTTCTGATCTTCATTGAATGTTTTATTTGTAACTCTTTTTCTCTGATATGCTGGCTATATTCACTCTGTTGTTCTTCATTTATAAGATCATTCTGAGAATTTTTGTATTTCTCACATTTCAAGCACTTGTCCTTTTTAGGTATGTGGAACCCTATATTGAAGTCATTTTTGAAGATCTTTTTGAAAACTTGTAAGCTTACTTTATTGGGTTTTTTGTTAATATTTTCTTGATCCATGAATTTTCCATAAATTCTGTATAGGTTTGAAATATTCTTAAACTCAGTTGGTAAATATTTGCGAGTACCGTCTTTTCTGCAATAGTGTGACGGAACCGCTGGTAGTTTATTGATGAAGGAAATTACGTAATCAGTGTATGAAGCAGGAGTTTTATTCTTGGGATCGTGTTTTCCACGTTCATAAATTTTTGATGTTTCAATGTCACTCCTGCTGTTTTCGGTATAACGGAGTAATTTATCTGATACGTCAAGTGTTCTCATGAAAAAGCGCCTACAAACTTTGATTTTTTCATCACCTTTTGGTAAGAAATAGTTCCTTGTCAGAGATTTTCTACTCTCTGTTTCAATCCTTCTACGTTTCACTTCATGGATATCAATGTGATTGACTATAAAATCTTTTTTTCGTTGGTGGCTCAAAGCCCAGTAATTTTCAAATAATAATTTTCTTCGATCTTCACCTATATCTTTACAAGAATTCGCACAGCCTTCAATGCAAGGATTCTCTTTAACATTCTTTCCTTGTTTTTCCTTATTTTTATGTCCTATATAAAACTCGCCTCTGTTTCTTTTTGCCTTGCGAATTTCTCTTTGGTTTCCTTTTTTTTTTCTTTTCATTCCGAACTCTTCTTGCATCTTTTCATCAACTGATGGTGCTTCATCACTAGGAGAGCATACCTCTGCATTGCCTCGAATATAATCATCACCTTCTTCCTCAATTTCTCCTCCTACTTGGTCATTTACAACAATTTCTTGGTATTCCTCATGGTCTGAAACTCTCTCAATGGCATAATTCAATAGAGTTGAATCGTCCTGAAAATCAGGAAAAATATAGTAGGTATATAAGTCAAGTGTATGTGGAATAGGGTGAATACATACAACTAAATCTGGGTTTTCGGTTTGCGTGCCTGAAAGACTTGTTATTTCAATATTGTTAATATTTTCTTCGAAAATCACATCCATGTTAGTAATATCTAGAGGAATGTCAAAAATATTATGTTCCACAGCCTCTGAATTACTTGAGATCGAATCAACCTATGAAAGTTTTGTTGAATGAAGAAGATAATTATTTAATTCTGAAAATGCACTCACCTCAGTGGACACTACTTCTTTCGAAGAATTTGTTTCCTCGCATATTCGTGGAAGGCAACTACTGTCTGTGTTATAGTCACTACTTGATGTCGGCCCACAAAAATCTGTAACATTCTCAGTCGCTACATCGCTATTTTTCCTCATCAAATTGACATTGCTCATAAGTGTAATTTGTTTATTATAACTTTCACGACCCATATTCGCTATATATCTTGCCCTATCAGACATTTTCTTGGAAATTCCAGTGCAAAACAGTACTGTTGACAATCCGAATTAATCAAGACTAAGACAGGTTATGTTTCCTCATATGACGTTTATGCACATTCGTCCTATTGTATTTAACATTCGCTACATTCGCCCTTTTGCCAAAAAATAATGAACACATTCGCCCCAATGTGAATTTGTTTCTTTACTATAAAAACTTCATCATCAACCAAACACAATCGTCCTTTTGCCAGATTGTACTAATATCCCAAATCTATGATTTCCTGCAAAAATGTCAAAATCGCAAAAATGGCGTATTCGCCCTTTTGCAAAAATACCATCGATATTAGAAAAAAAAATTTCAGACACGCTTTTATACATGACACAATAATTTCTTTCATGTTTGATCTAGGTGATTCTGTGAGTAACAGATTCAAAAGATTCTCGCAGATACAAAATAGGAAATTTTGCGTGGTAAGATCTGTTACTTACAGAATAACCTAGATCAAACATGAAAATAAATTTGTTCCCATTCCAGTGCTTCTGTATAAAATCATGTCTTGAAAAAGTTTTTATATTTCGATATTTTTCATTTGATTTCAATTTATTGTTTTTGTTATTTCCAATTTATTCAAATAAAACACCCCATTTTTCGGATTTCCCATGCTGAAGTGATTCCAAAAATGTGTCACACGTTGCTTCTAACGGGTGAAGGGTGGACAAAAACGCAAAATTTATTCATGAAAATTTGATGGAATGTTATACGAACTGTATTCTCATAAGATCATGGAAGAAGAATTAACGTAATAGTCCCTTATTCCATTCTCAATGTTTATATCAGTTATTCTATATCAATTATCTTCTAGGAATGCAGTAATGTATAACAATTCATTAAATATTCATAAACAGCTTCTGCATTTTTGCTCACTCTGTACAAATCTGAAACAATATATGATACATATTTGGAACCAACGGAAAAACTGGTGATGACGCCATCACACGAAGTTAGTTTACCCTGTATAGGTATAAGATTATTATTTTAAAAAATAGCGAATTGAAATCAAAAATCGTCCTCTTCCAGGAATTCTCAATTGTTTATGCATTTAGCTAATTGGTACTGAATGTATGCGTCATTTTATATATGGGCGCACTGTATAGAAGCAGACCATCAGGTATAGACATTAATTGAACAAAATAGCAATTATATAGCTTTATTATCATTGACAGTAGGTAATTGAAAAGAAATCAGGAAATCATTCAAATTGACATCTTCATCAGAAGTATTTTCCTATTCCGATCATTCTTTGCCTCCATGAGTACCTGGAGCGAATTCAGAGCCCAACAGGCATATCTCCCAAAGCTATTGCAGTCGCATGGTGGAGTGTTGAATGTTGTGCTGCACGTGCACAGTCCCCTCCCACTATAGTATTTTTTGCATCATCGATGATCTGTTCGAGGTATAATAATCGTTGTTCTATAACACCTGAAGTAGCTACTGGCGGAATTCCAAGATGAGTCCTTACATAGGTTTCAATTTTGGACCAAATCGTCTCTATTGGATTCAACATTAGTAAATAAGGTGCTTGCCTCAATAGCTGTTGTTCCATTCAGAGCAGTTTCCAACTTCGGGGGACATGAGGCATTGTCGCAAACTATCACAAGGTCACCAAGTTGAATACCGCCTTTGTGCCATTGTATCATCAGATTCATTACCCAAGCAATTGCCGAATCTGCCATAAAAGAGCCTCTTCGGCGATCCATTGCCACAATACCTGCTGCTGATATCCCTACTATCAAATGAACATTTGGTCCTCTTGATGACGGCAGGATTTAAACAGCTCCTGCACCAGCTCGGGAACGGCCTCTTGTTCGCCGGCTAAATAAATTGAAATTAGTTTGGTCAATCCAAAATCCGTTTCTGTCCTTTCTTCAACATTATATCGCGGCCTGACCTATATCGAACAGTATTTCTGTTATAATTTCTTCTGACTACTGCCTCGTGATGCGTAACTGGTGTTCTGCATAACGGACACAAAGCATCTGGGGCATCAACCATTTCCCTAGAGCAGCTTTCATGAAATGAATGATGGCATGGCTGTACTATCAAGGCTGGATGTCTCAGCATAGGTATCCGACAGATAGCGTTATTGCCTGCTGCTAAGTTCATCGCAAATACAACAAGTTTTCAATAATCTGGAACTGAATGACATTTATCTTTGACAACGCAGTCATACATGATTTTTAATCGATTATTGTATTCATGTTGTGAACACGATTTTCCTTTCCTGGTTGGTATTTTTCTCTTTGAAGAATCGACTGTTTGAATGAAATATCAGAAACTCGAAACTGAATTACATTCTGGTCAAAAGTCGTAATTATTTCAATGTGGTTGTCACACTTGTCATATCCTATAAACCAATAGTGACGCATAGTATAGTAGTGTGGTCTTTGATCGAAGAAATATCTGGTGTACGTTAGTATTCTTTTCATTGAAAATTTTCAACTGGTTTTTCTGTTCTTCTTGATCCTGAAGATATAGAAGATCACTGAAAGGCTTCCAAGAAATATGCTTTTCTGATACTATTTCGTGAAAATTTTGACAACTGTCTCGGATTTATGTTGACAATGGGAATTTATATGTCATTATATGGCCAAAAATAATCTTGATGAAGATTTTCCAATAGGACTGAGTGATGATGAATCATCCTGGTCAGAAGATACAGTTACGAAGAAACCAAAACATCCTCTTCAATGTCCTCTATGTGAGAAACTCTTCATCAGTAGTTCAGGACTGAGAAAACATGATGGAAGCAATGTTTGCCTCAAAAATCAGGCAATCATCCAGAAACAAACTTCCAAAAATACTAGAGATCCTCAATCTATTGATAAATTACCTGATAATGAGAATCCCTGGTCTTTCATCACAAATCTTCATGAAAAGGTCATCATTATACGTCGTATTCCAAAATCAGTTAGTCATTCAGTTGATGAATCATTGATATCTATAATAGATCGATGGCAAGGTTATATTTACTTTCATTCTCTCATGAGACATTTTGTTCACCAAAATTTGTAACGAGGAATATATCGGTTCCTACATTGATACGGAACAATCTTTCAACTCTCGATATTTCGACTTCAGATATCATATCGAAAACACCAAAAATTTTGAACAATCTCAAATCATTGGTGGAAAGAAAAATGATAGATGGAGATGTTCGTGGCGCAGTTAGAATCCTTGCTTCAGATGATTCTGTAGTTTTTCCCTCTGAAGAAATTTATGAAACATTGACATCCAAACATCCGGATGCGCAGAAAGATGCAATTTTTCCAAAGGATCCTGAATGCAATTAAGTCCTTTCCTTATGGTTCTGCTGGAGGATTAGATGGTTGGCGACCTCAACATCTGAAAGACATGACATCAAAATATCTTGGTGTGACTGCTGAAAGATTATGTGATCGCTTAGCATCTTTGGTGAATATTATGTTGGAAGGTGATGTCCCCAGGACATATCCAATGTTCTTTATGGTGCCTCTGAAGAAGAAAGATGGTGGTATTCGTCCTATAGCAGTTGGGAATACTTTGCGTAGACCTGCTGGAAAAGTTGTGAGTTGTCGTGTTTACGAATCTATGGGTGATTTAATGACCTACACAAATGGGATATGCCTCTTAAGGTGGTATTGAAGCTGCTGTTCACGCCACTCGTTGTTTCATTCTGATGGCAAAGAATACACAAATACTAATGAATCTGGATTTCAAGAATCCCTTGAATTCCGTTCACCGAGAAAAGCTCCTCGTAAGTGTTCAAAAATATTTACCACAATATTATAAATTTCTTTGCAATTTATAATGTCACGAAAGGATATTTTCCAAATTATTCTCAAATAATACTACTACTATTATTATTATCTCACTGTTCTAATTTATCGAGTTTGTTATATTTCTCAGCAATTCAACTGTCCTCATTCGTGACAAAACATTTTTCAATAAAATAAACATTTGAGGTGATCGATCGGAATCCACGTACCAAGAGGGACTTGACTTTTGGTCCGAATAGCGGACGGTTGCTTGTGGCAACGGGGATGTCCCAATTGGGACATCCCCAAGTTTTTGTGTTAGATCCTTGTAAGTACCATTTTTATTATTCATTAAATCTTCAACCTAATGCCTCTTCAAGGAATGTCAAAATTGTAATTCATCATTAATAAATCCTTATTTCCTTTTGTTGTTCAAACTTAAGTCCTTTTTTATTGAGTATCAACCCTCAGCAAATCCCAACTAGCAAAGGCAATAAGTCACATTCGTGACATATGGTGGAGGCGCCGTGTTTCGTTCCCGAGGTTGGTTCTTCATAACCAGCCTCAACATTTGTTTTTATTCTTTGTCTTTAGTTTTTTTTTTGATAAATGATGTATAACCTATATATCTTGTGAAGGGTCAAATTGGGATTCTCGTATGAGGCACTGGCCAGTAAAAGCTCACATTTCGGCATGCCAAAACCGAAATGCTTCTGCATGGGAGTTTCCCCATGTAAGGCCTTTTCTGGTAGTGCGTTACAGATCGGCATGCTAAAACCGTCTGTACTCATACGGGAGAAGATTTTGAATTCAGGGGTTGTTGATAGTTGCATATACACGAAGTAGTACGTAGTAGTAGTAATATTTGAGTATAATTTGGAAAATATCCATTCGTGACAAAACATTTTTCAATAAAATAAACATTTGAGGTGATCGATCGGAATCCTTGTAAGTACCATTTTTATTATTCATTAAATCTTCAACCTAATGCCTCTTCAAGGAATGTCAAAATTGTAATTCATCATTAATAAATCCTTATTTCCTTTTGTTGTTCAAACTTAAGTCCTCTTTTATTGAGTATCAACCCTCAGCAAATCCCAACTAGCAAAGGCAATAAGTCACATTCGTGACAATATCGTGACCCTGCATCACTCAACTTTGAAGATTTTTCACTAAATCATCATCGTGGAATTCAACAAGGCGACCGTTTAGGCCCATTAATATTTTGTCTTGCAACTGAGGATGCAGTAAATTTTGTAAAATCTCCTCTCAACGTTTGGTATCTTGATGATGGAACAATAGCTCAAGATTATGTTCGGTATGATGAATATTAATCAGCATAAGTTGTTTATAGGCTGATGACTACAACTCAAGCTTTGCTTAGGTAGCTCAGCCTTTGAAATTGCCTTTGTACGATTATTTATTTATGTATTTAATTTGTAAAATATGTAATTACCTGAATAAATTTCATTTCATTTCATTTCATTTCATTTCATTTCATTTGGAGAATATTGTAAGAATGGGCAAAGACATTGGTGGAATTGAATATATCTAAATGTGAATGCTTCATTCATAGTGGTGATGACTTGTCGAAGGAAAAAGTACTCATGGCTGTTGAAAAATTTGCTCCTGGTATTAGATTTTCCACGAATGATGATCTGTCCCTTCTCGGAGCTCCTTACCAGAGGGAATCGTAAATTCGATTAATTCAAAAATGTCATCAATAAAATTAATTTCAAGTCGTTTACCTCAACTCAGTTCACATCATGCTCTTTTCATCCTTAAAAATTGCCTAGGAGCTTCAAAAGTTTTGCATTTGATGAGATGTTCTCGAACATGTATGAGAAAATAAGAAACTATCAGGTCTCGATGACATCTTGCGTTCTTGTCTTGTATCCATCACCAACACAAATTTGAATTATCAAGCTTGGACTCAAGCAAGCTTTCCAGTAAACAAAGGTGGTCTCGGAATACGTCGTACAGAGGAACTAACTCTCCCAGCCTATTTGGCTTCGGTTCACTCTGTTGCCGGTCAGATTACTAGTATTATTCCTGAGTTTGTGGCCGAGAAAGAAGCTTCCTCAGCTGTTAAAAAGTGGTGCGGATTAATTGGGTTACCTTCACCTTCTACTTCAGTTCAAAGACTTTGGGATATTCCACTAGTAAAAAGAGTTTGGGACAAAATCATATCTTCTGCTTCTGTCCGTGATAAAGCTAGACATCAGGCAGTTTCATTGAAAGAGTCTGGATCATGGCTCAATGCATTCCCAATACCTAGCCTTGGTAATATCCTCCATGACAACTGTCTGAGAATTTCTGTTGCATAACGACTGAATTATGCTGTTTATATGAATGCATTTGCGGTACTGAAGTTGATTCATATTATCATCATGGATTGAGCTGCAATAAAAGTTCAGGAAGCTTCACGCGTCATTCAGCAATCAACGATGTTATTAAACGAGCTCTCATCTCTGGAAACGTTCAAAGTATACTAGAACCAACTGATTGTGCCGTTATGATAGTGAAAGACCTGATGGAATGTCATTGATACCTTGGAAGCGTGGAGAAGCTCTGATTTTATCTATCAAAGCTGCTGGACCCGCTGATTTTGTGGCAGAGAAAAAAAAGTGCGAAAAATATAAATCTTTATGCCAATAGTACTCGATACTTGTGGACCTTGGGGACCTTCAGCCAGAGAAATGATTTCAACTATTGGCCATTTGATTTATGCTCAAAGCAGTGAAGATAGATCTACTGAATACCTTCGCCAAAGAATTTCAATTGAGAATCAGAGAGGAAATGCTGCTCCCATTCTCAATACTATTCCCTCAAGCAAAGGTCTGGAAGAAATTTTTTATGTACTGGGTGATGCTTTTTCAATAAAAACACGGACTTGTGCAAGCAGATCTACACAAGGAGATTCATTAGAACTCTTTAAACCCATCCATGCTGTTGATGTCCCACCCACATCAACTGTCGTTGAGTCATTATCGAATCACCAGTCAACCTATTCAACTCCATCTGATATTCTAACTGGAAATCGAAATTCAAAATCGATGTATCTCCGTTCAAGCAATAGGAATTGTGAATACTGGTCCATGGATTATCCGATATCATGGAAGATTTCGGGACTCAACGGCATGAATAACAATGGGAACACGTGTTTCATGAACAGTATAATTAAGTGCCTGTCTCACACTAACTGGTTGTTGGAGTATTTATATCCAGCACGGAGGGATCTTTGATGAAGTCATAAAAGAACTGTGGTCGGATTATTCGACTGGCCAATATGTGAATATGATCTCTTCGAAGGCCAAAATTCAAAAATTTGCGCCGTGCTTCATCGGCAATGCATACTTAGACTCTCAAGAGTTCCTGCGGTTCCTGCTCTTGGGTTTGCACGAGGATATCAATGAGGTCATCGAGAAACCGAATCCCAAGTTTACAGACATCGATGAAATTCTGGATGTCAACGAAAAGGCTTCGGAAGCATGGTCGAGATTCTTGAAAGTGAATAATTGCGTTGGTCTAATCAAGTCTTCATTGAAATATTCCTCATTGACGTTTGATCTCTTTTGGGATTTGTCATTGCCACTACCACAGCAAAAGCGCAAAATCAGTTCGTTTCAGTGCTTGGACTCATTCACCAGAAAGGAGTCATTGGGTGGCGAAGACAAGCCTACTTGCTCCAAATCCAAGGAAAGGCGAAAATGTACATAGTCATTATCTATTCAGAGGTTCCCTGAAATTCTTGTCACCATCTGAAACGTTTCTCGCTGGATCGGTTCGTAGAAAAACTGAACGTCTTTGTTGATGTACCTTTAGACAGACTCGATATGAGTCATTACGCTGCAGATAGAAGTGTACCATTCCAGTACGATCTCTATGCTATTTCGAACCACAGCGGTACCATCAACAGTGGTCACTATACAGCCTATTGCAAAGATCCGTACTCGAACATGTGGCACGGATTCAACGATAGTCGTGTTTCAAAGATGTCATCAGATTTGATCATCAGTAGAAAAGCGTAAATACTCTTCTATCAAAAAAATACCCAAGTTGTATCGGAGTTATTGGATTGAATTCATTTAATACAATTTATGTACTAGTTTTGGTCATGTTTAGGTCAAATCATCCAAATGCACTCTTTTTGTTTTGCTTCTACAATCAATACATCATATTTAATCGCTAATAAACCAAAATTGAACATTTCAAAAATTATACTGAGCCTCATAACATCAAAGCTGGATTTTTTATATGTTATTGAGACATTTATTTTACATTATTATTCAAACAGCCAGTCACTTCCGATTGGACAAACATGCCGCCAGACACTACTGAACGTCAACCATGAGTGCGAGCGTAGGCGCATCATGCGTGTCCGCGAGTGCGACAACGAGCATTTATTAGTTGCACAGAGCAGTATATTTCCACCAACGAGTCCACATTCGACAGATTCTCATTGAGCCCATATTTCCACCATGTCCACATTCAATATATTCTCATCACGCCTACAATCAATATACAGGGGCCCGAAATCACATAGGAAGATTTTAACTGCAAGTTCAAGAAACAAAAATAGTGGAAAATTTTTATATAAACATGGTCTAGGAATTTTTAGACAAGAAAAACAAAATGGTGGAGCCAATATGGCGGACGACTTTTGTTATTAGGATCCGATTCTATTCAAAATCGGTATCTGCGGATTTTTGGGGTTGGATACTATGATTCTTTCGTCAAAATTGGGGAATCCATGATGGCGGTTACGATATGGCGGACGAGTTTCGTAATTATAATCCGATTTTATTTGAAATTCGTATCTGGGGCTTTCAGGGTCAGAGATTATAATACTTCCGTCAAACATAAAGTTAATCAAATAATCCGTTGACATTGAATTATAAAAACTGATCCAGGAACTCTCATGGGAAACGTGCATTTCTAATAAAATGATGTATATAAATATTGGATGTGAGGGTTCCGAAGTCAGTCTGGTCTGGGGCTACTCTTGACTTGACAAGAGCTCGTCGTGATGGTCGTTATAATGTAAGTTGTTATTAGGTCTTTATATTCATTGTTGTTGATTCATATTTGTCATTGCTACCCATAATGTTTCATGCTTCATTAAATATTGTTTTGTTTGAATATAGTCTCGTACTTCCAGTTACCCCTAAACTATTAGTGCCTATTTGAATATAACCTCTCGCAAACTATTAAGCCAAGCATTACCCCTTATAAGCCAATATGGATAATAATAATAATAATAATAATAATAATAATAATAATAATAACTGGGATCATTGCGTCTACTCAGGGCACACGGTACTTGGTCCCAGTGATTACTCACCTCACAGGCTGTGAGGAGTAGTCACTGGATTTTATCCAGCACAACTCTGCGTGACGTCGGAGGCCGCAGGGTCGTGACTGGTATTATATGAACTAAAATAATAATAATAATAATAATAATAATAATAATAATAATAATAATAATAATAATAATAATAATAATAATAATAATAATAAGTTGAGTCCGTTGTGGAGAATGAGAGGTGCCGAATTTATTGGAACTTCTCATTCCCCACCCTCAGGCAAATACAAGCTAACAAGCCTGATGTAGTCCTCCTCGACCATCAAACCAAAGCGATGTTCGTGATCGAGTTTTCGGCGCCAGCCGAACCGAACATCGTTTTGAAGGAGGAGGAGAAACGGACTAAATATCGAGATCTTCTCTTCGAACTCCGCCGGCTCTATCCAGACCATTCTGTGGAATTGGTCATCCTGATTATCGGCTCCCTAGGAGGCACACGACACACGCTACTCTCGGAGATCCAGAAAATCCCAGCGTGCCGTGATAAGGCACACATCCTGGCTGGTGGTATGCAGAAGGCCGTCATACTTGGATCATTGCGTCTACTCAGGGCACACGGAACTTGGTCCCAGTGATTACTCACCTCACAGGCTGTGAGGAGTAGTCACTGGATTTTATCCAGCACGACTCTGCGTGACGTCGGAGGCCGCAGGGTCGTGACTGGAATTACATGAACTTAAATGAATAATAATAATAATAATAATAATAATAATATTAATAATTTATTAATCCTTCAGATTACAAAGTAATATTGGACAGGTCAAATAAATCAACGTTGATACCTATAACAAAAAAATAGATAAAAGAGTATAATACATTTCACACAGAACAGGTAGCGACACAGTTATTTGCATTGAAAAACTCAGAGGTATTGTAAAAACAACCCTGAATGAGAACATTTTTGAGATCATTCTTGAACTTGTTGGGATTTTCATTCATAGTTATATACATGGGCAGATGATTGAAATACTTTATGCCCATATAGAAAGGGCTCTTTTCATATAGGCTTGTGCGGTGTCTAGGTATACGCAAGAGATTTCTATTGCGCGTAAAATGATCATTATTATATGAATTTTTTTGAAACTTGTGTAGGTTTCTTCTCGTATACATTACACAGTGATAAATATAGATCGAGTAAAAAGTGAGCAAGTTATGCTTTCGAAATATAGGTCGACAGCTTTCCCTGTAATCAAGATTGAAAATCAGTCTTATAATTCTTTTTTGAGAAATCAGAATTCTAATAGAGTTAGTTGCATTACCCCATAATATTACATTGTTGCTCATATGCGAATAAACTAATGCATAGTACACATTAAGCAACTGGTATGTAGTGAAAACATATTCCAGTTGGAGAATAGCATAATACCCACTATTGATCCTTTTGCTCACATGATCTATATGTGTTGCCCAACTCATATCAGAGCTGACAAAGGTGCCTATACCTAAAAATTTTGTGGAATTCGATAGTTCAATAGGGGTATCATTAACCATTACTCTGAATGGATAATTGAGTTTGAGTCTTGAGGAGAACTGCATACAAAAAGTCTTATTCGCGTTAACGATAAGACGATTTTTTGAGCACTAGTTGGTAAAGTTTCCTGAGACCATGTTGAGTTTACTTTGGAGTATCAGTGCTGACCGCAATAGTAGTATCATCCGCATACAGTATGACACAATCAGAATCTAAGTGATATGGTAAATCATTTATGAAGAGCAGAAAGATAAGTGGCCCTAAAATAGATCCTTGAGGAACTCCTTAATCTATGTCATGTGAATGAGAATAATTATTATCAATTTTGACAAGAATTTTCCGGTTCTTCAAGAATGATACAATCCATGAAAGGAAAGTTCCTCTGAAACCCAGCATGTATAGTTTGCTTTCCAACAAAGAAAAATCAACCGAATCGAACGCCCTAGAAAGATCGAAGAAAAGTACACCAACATACTTTCTATTTTCTAGTTTCGTGTTCACATATTCGAAAAGGTCATAAGCTGCACTTTCCGTCGATTTTCCAGGACAAAATCCATTTTGATTACGGGATATTATTCTATATTTTGTAAGGAAATTCAACATTTTATTATATACAGCCCTCTCAATGATCTTGCTAATCACCGAACACACAGTAATTGGCCTGTAATTATTTATATCAGTAACATCTATCTTTTTATAAACAGGAGTAACAACTCCAACTTTCAGATTATCTGGAAACTCACCCAATTGTACTGACAAGTTTATTATCACAGATAACGGTTCTGCAATGGAAGTTGCGATGGTTTTGATAATTTTAGTGGGTAAACAATCAATACCTTGAGAACTTGTATTTTTAAGACTTGTTATAATATTCAGAACTTCATTTGCCTCGATATCGGTCCAGAAAAAAGTGTTAGATGAAAATGTTGAATATGTGTATTCATGAGGAGTTGTGTCACCAAAGTGTAACTGAATCGCTTTTTCAGGGCCTTCAGCAAAATGCTCCACAAAAGCATTTGCTATTTGCTTCAATTTTATGATTTCCCCATCAATTTTCAGGTGCATGCTGCTTGAATCATTTTTTTTTTACATTTCCTAGTGGTTCTCCTAACAATATTCCAAATTTCTTTTTGTTTGTTACTCGCATGTGTACTATTCAATTTATTTTGATAAAATGTTCTTTTCAATCTATTCACCTCACTTTTGTATCGGTTTTTGTATTGATTATAACTATTTTCAGCTGATGTACAATTCAAGTTCTTAGATAACCAGAATAGGTCTTTCAATTTTCTGCCCATGTTTAATAACTCATTAGTTAGCCATGGAGGCCTTCTATTAATCTGATTATTATCGTCTCTACTTACAGTTCTACTCAGAACTGGACAAATTGAATCCACCCAGTACAACACAATATTTAGGAAACTAGTACATGCTTCAGTTATGTTACCATTACAATTAAAAACATCATCAAATTTTTCCTCAGAAAAACACGTTTGTAGTTGAGTTGAAGTAGTCTCATTTATGGGCCTAAAACTTATTTGCTGTGGCATAATCTGTTTACTTTCACAACTCTCAACAAACAGTTCGAAAACTAAGCCTAAATGGTCACCTATATTCATATTCTTGACGTGTTCATTATAATCTTCACTAACAACATTCGTGATAAAATAATTAATTTTGGACACTGTAGTCAGATCATTAGCATTCGTGTAGACTCTAGTCGGTTCTAAATTTTGAAAGTGTAGTTCATAACTAACCAAAAGATCAATGAATATGTCTCTGTTATGTGATTTTTTCAAATAATCTATGTTCATACCACCACATGAAATTATTTCTTTGAAATGACTGTACAATAATTCAAGACCTTCGAGAATCTACAGAGAAATATCTCGATGTCACCATCAGGTGGTCGATACACATTAATAACACAATATGTAGTTTTTTCGATAACTAAGGAGACTGCACAATACTCAACGTGCATTTCAACGGAACATTTCGATATATTTTCGAGATTCTGACAGTCAAAAATATTCTTTCTAGTAAAAATGAGTACACCACCGTGTATATGGTTTTGTCTAACATAGTAAGATGCTAAGTTATAATTATGTATTTTCACCGTGTTGATGTTTAGATTGTTACACCAACTTTCACTTATACAGAGAATATCGGGATTTTCACTGAATCCGAGTAGTTCAATGTGACCTTATTTATTACAAATTGATTGGCTATTCAGAAGTATTATTTTGAATACTTCCAAGTCAGATTCATTTTCTACACTTATTAATTCAAAAGGGGCGTTGTATATAGGATTGTTTCCGAAATTGAAATCGTTTGACTAAGACTCCTGGTGGCCAATGTTCGGCAGTATATAAAATGTCTTTTAGTTCATAATCGGCCTCTATCCTATATGAACTGTTGTAATTCTTCTGAATATTGACAACACTGTACATAGTTCCGAAAAGTGAGGTTGAATCGTATTAGTGTTAGACGCAGTACTAAAAATTTGCTCGTGAATTTCTTCATATTTTGTGAAAAGAACTGTGAATATCTGTATGTGCTCGAGGAAAATGAGTTGCAAGATGTCTGCAAGAACAAAGTTAATGATAGAACGTGCCAAAAATATCGTTTGCACTGGTAAGTATCTAACCATAAGTTTTCAAAGAATGACTAGCTGTTTCTATCAAAGTTGGCAACGTATTCAACCAGTCGTATGCTCATTTCGTATGCTTATTTCGTATGCTTGTTTTCCAAAATGGTTCAGAATTTGAGTGTACAGAAATAATCATTTATAGATTGTTCAAAAAATTGCCATGGAACTTTTCATGAATGACTACTCCATTGATATATTAACTTGAAAAACTATATGTAGTGTTTGATAAAGTAAGAATAGGTTCTTTTGTTCTAGATTCTGGTGAGTCAAGCCAGAACAGTGTGCCTTCGACAAGTAAGTTCGTCAGAGAAAATAAGACAACAACATTATCAGTGAAATATGCTGATAGTCAAGTTACTTTAGATACGAATAGTATTCCTGGCCCATCTCGTCTGACACCTGAAGAGGAGTGTTTTCACGGTAAGTTTTTGCTTTTGTTTCAACGAATAAAAAAGTATTCGATTGAAATATGTGAATACTTTTGTTGTTTTTTTTTTGTAGATTTCTCGGACAACGGTTCTTCTGATGATTACATACCAAGCTGCTCAGATACAGAAAGTAGTTGTGATTCTGAATCTGACGACAAATTCATCAAACGAAAAATAACTAATACAACTGAAAATCCTGTCAGAAATGAAGAAATGCCTGAAGATTCAGAAACTATGGAGATTTCCCAAAACATGCTTCGGTATGAAGATATAGTAGATATTGGCAAAGACAAAAGTACTCAACGACCAGAAAATATATTCGAAAAAATTACGAAGAGTTAAGAAAAAAATATTTCAGCTACCAGAAAAAACTTCCAGGAACCGTCAAAGAAACGTAGACGAGTGGAAAAGAAAAAAATCTGCAATATCCAGACAAAGGAATTCCAAAAATGCCCTTCTCTTTAAGAGTCTTTCGATTCATCCTGTTCAACGTCACAGGAAAAACATTAAAAAAGCGAAATCCTTCTCTTTCAAATATACAATTACATTTAATAAAAGAGTAATTCAGGTTTGTAAAACAGTACTATGTGCACTTTATCAAATTTCAAATAAAAAAATACAGGTCATTCAGAATAAACTTAAAAGTGGTTCTTCTGCGCCAACACCAGACAAACGAGGTACTCACACTAATAGACCAAATAAGGTACCTGAAGAAGTGGTAAACTGCGTTATTAATCATATTGAGCAATTCCCCGCGGAACAATCTCATTATTCGAGGAATAAAAATATTCACAGAAAGTATTTGTCGCCTTTGCTAAATGTACAAAAAATGTTCGATCTTTATATCGAATCATGCAGGCAAAATGATCTTTCAGAGAAGTATTTTATAAAAAAATGCACCTATAATAACATTTTTTCGACACGCTTTAATCTTTCATTTGGCGAGCCAAAAAGTGACACCTGTGGAACTTGCGATGCCGGTTTAGATACTGATGATCATAAAGAAAATTATAGATTTGCATTTGAACAAATGAAACGAGACAGAGAATTGGCGCAATCAAGTGATAATACAGTTTTTTTGACAATGGACTTACAGCAAACAATGCCTTTGCCAAAACTGACAACGTCCAAAGCATTTTACTTGAGGCAGTTGTGGTTTTATAACTTCAGTATACATACAGTGACCAAATCTGGTGATAAACCTTTTTTTTTTCACTTGGACTGAAAATATTTCCACAAAAGGAAGTTTGGAAATAGGTAGTTGTCTGCACACATTTGTCCAATTATTTGAAGTTGCTACGCAGACGAATATTCAGCATCTTGTGATATGGTCCGACTCATGTTCTGGACAAAACAAAAATTTTAATTTGATTGCTCTCTATGAATACTTCATTTTGAAAGGATTTTTTCAAATTATAGACCATAAGTTCCCTGTAGTAGGTCATTCCTATCTGGACTCCGATAGAGACTTCGGAAGAATTGAGAAAGTACTGAGGAAACATTCCACCATCTATACTCCTGGTGAATATAGAACAATCATAAAGTCAGCCTCAGTGAAACACTCTGTAGTTTTCAATATGGAAAATCACTTCAAAAATATTGAAGAAATTGAGGAGAAAATGCATTTGTACAATAGAAAAAAAAATGTTTTAAATGACCCAGTATGTTTTCGCGATGGCGTCAAGTGGATACGCGTCGAAGAATATGGAAGTTACTTATACAAACATACTCTGGATGAATGTACGCCTTTTCTGAAAGTAGATATTATGAGGAGTAAATGTAAAGAAATTGAACGGAAAGACTTTACTCTACGTAGTGTCACGCTAAAACAGAATAAAATATCCGAAGAAAAAATTTCGAACCTGCAAGAACAGCTGGTGTATGTTAATGACGAATTTAAATACTTTTATGAAAACATTATAAGGGAAAATGGAAATATTGTTGGTAAAACTTCAAAACAAAAAGTATTGCAAAGAAGAAGCAAGTGAACTTTTCATTTTGAAGTTTTATAAATGGAGTTTTGTGTTACAACATCGATATCCAATCAAATCATTTGATTTTTTCTCAATAATACGTTTTTTTTCTCATAAACCCTTTATCCACTTACCTATTCAAATATGACTTGAACCATTCTTTTATTTTCCATTCATGAAACAAACTCTGTTTATTTGAAGGATGAAGGATTCATGTACCTTTTTTGAGTTTTTTTTTTTACTGTATTATATACCAGTGTCAGATGAACTATGCAAAATTGTGTAATAAAGGTCTATTCAAACCAGCGATTATTTTTTTCATTCAACGCAATACAAAAAACTGAGGCATCAAAAACTTTGAACATCATTTGCTCCAAATTAATTTTGTGTGACTTGAACCCTTTATCCACTTGTGTCTTCAATTTCATTATAGTTCTAGTTAAAACGACTGATTTGCAAGATTAGATTACTGAATGACCATTGTTTTCATGAAAACTATTTGTGATTTCTCTCAGATATTATATTCAAAATAAACACATCCTTAAATAACCTGTATACATTTGGAAAATCTGAGCAAATCACATAACCTCAAATAATGACTTCATTAGGAGCATAAGTTGCGAAGTTGCAAGAACGGGTACCTCGCGGCTAGTGAAAATGTGATTATAATGTAGTGAAAATGTAATTATTATAATGAATGTTGCATGTTAGTCAACCAAATTACTTTAGATTCTTTTTTTAACAAAAACTTATGTATACTGCTTTTAGTTTTATATATGAGGAATGCAGGGAGCCCTTAACAGAGGAAGAAATGTTCGATAGAACAGAATCAAGATGACAAGATGTGAAGAAGTAGCCTCAAAAAAAGAGTTATTGATTCAACTTGTTTCCGAAAGGCGACCTCCATGGGACCACACACTTAAATCGACTGAGCGCAGCAAGACTGTTCGTGAGCAGCTGTGGATGAAAATTGACATGGAAATGAAATGCAATTGGGACATTCAACTTGTACAAAAGGAATGAAGAAGCCTCAAAGACAGGTTCTTTAAAGTGAAAAATGAAGTAATCGTGAAGAAGAGTGGTTCTAGAGCTGAAGGGAAAAATAAGTGGAAATATTTTGTCCTGATGAGTTTCCTATCAACACTCCTAGGGAAACAACAAATAATATTCCAACTCCTTCTAATAATTCACCTCCAGAAACGAAACAAAGTTCAGTTAAAAAACAAGAAGAAATATAGATGGAGAAATATTGGAGACATTGAAATCAATTATTCCAATTGCTGTACCAAAAATTATTTCTTCATCCATTTCATATGTATGAAAAATAAATATTTTAACACTGCAGGTGTCAAACTATCACTATTTTTGGCAATAATTATCGAAAATCTATAATAAATTATAAATATTTGATTCAAATTCAACCTGTCAAAATCTGGAAGCAGACGCATGTATGAAAATTATAGAAAATTTCATCGAATTTGCGTCATATGAAATAGCCAATCAGAACGAGGCAACGCAAGAAGCAAAACGTTGTCATGAAAACGAAGCTTTTGTCTACCCAAAAAGACAACTTTGATGGTTTCAAATTGTGTGACCTGTTGAGAAGTGATAGTAAATTATCTACATTTGCTGGAATTGATCATACTGTACTAAACACGATAGTGAAGTGTATGGAAAAGGTTTTGAACTCAAACTCTGAGACAGTTATTGATTTGAGAAATAAGATTTTGCTGGTGTTGGTAAAACTAAAACAAAGCATCTCTTTTTCATGTCTGGCCATTTTTTTCAATATGTCGATAATAGTTCTTTTTATTGGACCTGTCCAAGGTTGGCAGCAGCACTAAAGCCAGGAATCTATTGGGCAACTAAAGAAGAAATCTTGAACAATATGCCAAAATGCTTCGAAAAATATAAGTCAACCAGGGTAATTTTAGACTGCACAGAAATCTCGATGCAAAAGTCAAAATGTCTGAAATGCAGATTAAAGAATTACTCTCACTATTGAGGGGCACATTAAAGTTTCAAGTCGGTGTCGCTCCTTCTGGCCCAATTTTTTATATGAGTGAAGCATATGGTGGTAGGAGTTGAGATAAAGGCATTTTTATTACTGAAAATTTAATGCAGAGAAGTTAGATAGGGGTGATTCTATTATGGTACACAAGGGTTTTTGCATTGAAGATTTGTGTGACGAAAGCTTGGTTGAACTTTTTAGGCCCCCTTTTTTGACAAAAAATGTCAAACAATTTTCGGAAGAGGATGCAGAAAGTACTGCCAATATTGCTCGAGCAAGAGTGCATGTAGAGAGGACTATTCAGAGATTAAAAGTTTTCAACATCTTGAAACATCAAATCCAATGGTATTTAATTCCTCATATGAATGATAACATGACCATCATTGCTACGTTGGTAAACTTATCAAATCCTATATCATGTGATGAATGATTTTAATTGACTTGGATAGTTGTGTTCAGTATTGTATTCTGTAAGATTCAAATTGTTATAGGAGACCCCTGATTGTCTATTGATTCATTTCCAGTTTCAAATCAATATTATTAGTGATAAACCTAGAATCTCAAGACTAAGAGATTCTAGGGAAATTTCGTGAATCGATTGTCAGCTGATGCAAGACAGACTGTTTCGACTTGCCATAAGTCTCATCAGTTGCACTGGCCAGCTGACAATCGATTCACGAAGGGTACCTCCATATATCACCATCTGTTAGTGGAGCATTAAACCACTTTGAGAATTACAGGTGTTGCGATAGTCTACAGAATCTGACATGGATGTCTTTCCTGTAAGCATATAGACGTAGGGGTCTATATACACGACTTAGTCGCAAGGTATGATTGATGAATCTACCTATACACATTGCACTTAAGCCACTAGATGGCTATGAAGGCTAGATCGTCCTTCTGTCTTCTATCTACTTACACATAGACATCATTGAAATGGAAAATGAAGACTCAGGAATTCTCACGATAAACGTGTTCAGGAGGAGCGATTTAGCAAACTCTTCATCAAATGATACATCCACAATCAGATAAGAATCCGAAAAGGATGAAAAAAACTATGAAATCACAACTTTTCAAATTCAATAATGCCATACCCAACTGTATTTATCCATAATATGTATGATTTTTCTTCAATCTCACTTCTTTCTTTTCGACCTGTTTTTCACCGACTAAATAATCACATGAATCCACAAATGAGTTATGGTCCTTCACAGCACCTGCAAAATGAGTTACAATTGCTAAATATGTATATTTGTTCCCAAAACAAATATATGAATAATATCAAATTGAACAATAATAATAATAATAAAAGTACTTTATTGAACTACAATGTTCGAATGAATATCGAGTGTCCCATATATTGAACAAATAAAATGAAAATTTGCAAACCTGAAGAAGGGCATTTAATTTCCAATAATTTTTGAGGGATTCCATCCTTAAAAACAGTCTCATCAGGGGGATATCCATACCAAGGATATTTCCTGTTCACAATCAATCCAGGGATATAAACATCCAGATGATTTTTTTCTTTAAAGGCTTCCAGAGCTTTGCTTTCGAAACATTCTCCATGCTTGGTGTACTTATTAGGAAATATTTTTGGCCAGAAATATTTCTTTGATTTTATCTCCCAATCCCCTTTTTGATATGTGTATATTGAGTAAATTAAACAAGAACCTCAATCACACAAGTGATTTTCATGGACTACAGAATAAGAATCAGTTAATTTACTTGTAATTCTTAACTGTCGAACACTGTGCCTGTGGAAGTCTGTTCACAATTTGCCATATTTTCAATAATGTTTCAATACTTCTCTTATTCTCATACAACATGGTATTGAATCAAAATCACTTGGATCTATGTATATCTAATGATGCAATGAACCCTGACGGCTCCATATTCATCTGTATTTTTTCCAATGAATCATCCTCAGCATTGTAGACCCTGAAAATAAAAAAGCAAGCAACACACGAAAAATTAAAACCTGTGTAGCTTTTCTGCTGTTCAATTGCAATTGGCCTTGTATTCTGAAGTATATTATGCACTTGACCACACTGACAAGATTATCATCAGATGTGATTTCATCTCTATGGGTTTTACCACTTCGAAATCCATATTTTATTTTGTGAATGGCAGATGAAGGTTCACCTGCAAATTCATACCATGAATAATTGAGTTATGAAGAAAAAACTGTCCTTACAGTTCACCAAAAAGGAAAAATTCTCTTTATCAAAGTTTTCATTCTTTTCTATGGATATGCTTGATTTTTTGTTCGGGTGACAAAAGTCTGAAACCCTTTGAGCTCCATACATGGATTGGATATCTTTTTTCTCTCTACCCCATGCTTGCCTAATATCAGTGCAACTCAGTGAATCAAGAATCTCGTGCCTGAAATGAAAAATACTCATACCCACCTCTTATTACTATGACATCAGTCACCTGCTCACTTATTTACTTGTAACAATGTAGCAATAACATGTTTGCAAAAATCTGATTTTCCTGCTCTACAGGTACAAAATACAATTCCATTTGTGGGGATCACAATCCAAATTAATATTAATTTCGTGGGGTGGTGAAGTAAGAGCACTTGTTTGCGAACATAGGCCAAATATTCTCTGACTGACAGCTGATATTCTCATCATCCAGCAGCTGACATTGGATAATATGACCAGCCTTGAAGACGGCTTCGTCTTCTTTGATTGGCCTTTGACGAATACCTACGTAGGCGAAAATTTCCGATAAACTACCTTCAACTTTCGTCATTTTCGACAATTCAGTCAAATTTGAATTAATACCAAGTCAAAGACAATGGTGTCTTATGGAATAATACAGCTGATCACCATTATACGTTTCGCGCTCAAATTCTGCGCGCCATCTAGCGTAAACGAGTTTCGCGAATTTGGTATTCTGTTTCTCGAATGGATCGTGTAAAAACGACTCGATTCCTCGATAGCTCAAGAGGAGTCGAGTCGATGCGTTTGGTCAATCTATCCTTATCTATCATCGAATGTTTCTTTTCATCTTCATCCCAATTTGAGTTGAGATCATCTTGTTCATGTGAAATCACAGCTTAGAAAGTGTGTGATCAACTTATTACTTCATAAATGTAATATATAATTAATTTTAGATGTCGTTCAAACTCAGAGATGCCCACTGAGAAATGTTAATAACATTTCTAGAATAGCACAGAACACGGTCACAGGATGATTTTCAGAGTCTAATGGTCGTGAAATCAATAAGGGACACCCCTCATAGATTTGGTCTTTTAGAATATTTTCTCCAATCATGTCATCAATGCCTCTTATATTCAATGCCTTACAGTCAATTAAATTATTCAAATCCTACTTTCAAGTCTTTATTTACTGTGATACTGCCTATGCATTTTTTTTCTAGCATGGGGCAAACATGGACGATTGTATACTTTCTAATGGAGAATAGTGTCGAGGCTGTTCCTACTATATGGATTGTTGGCAATATGTGCTATTGGCCATCCTTCACTGCCGACAAAGTAAATAAGGCCATTAGGAACTACGAACATCCAGATACGTGCTGCGAATCTTTTGAAATACGAAGTTTCCGAAATGCTACCTATAGTAAGTATATTCACTTGCATATTTCTATTCAATTTCCATGTGAACAAATTGTAACAGATACATATAAAGAAGCTTCTCACAAATCGGGAGTAGCTATAAATAATAGTGACATAAATGAAGAAGAAGAAGAATCTCGAGAAACTAGAAAATCAAGAAGTGAAAAAAGAATTTGATCATTATCTGACGAAAGTAGAAACTCCGATGAGTCCGATGTTCCTACACCTACGAAAAATCATATATCTGTGAGTCAGTTACCTCACCCATTACAAACACCAATCTTGTCGAGTCAGTCACTGTACCTATGAGAAACATCAAATGTGTAGATCCCAGCATGATAAGTAAGTTAAAATATATTACCAATAGGTGAAATTCATCTACAAGTCTATGGTTAATTATTTTTGCCAATACCTAATTCTCATTTTTCCAGATGGAAATTCTTTAGCTTCAATTCCTCAACAAGAAGCAAATATGATCTGTACATGCTGCCCAGTTCATAAAAATGGTGAGATTCCTGTGGTCCTACACTCCATTCATTTATTTTAATTTCAGTACCCAGGGTGTATCATCATTATGTCACGTATTTGTTTATTGAAATACTTTTTTTAGACTGACATTAAAAATATCTCGAAGAAACACAATATGATAATGTCAGTTATCACAGAAAATATTGATGAGATGAAGAAATTATCAGGCCAAATGAGAAAAATGAACAAGGAAGACTTCAATTTTCGACTATCAAGTGAAAAATATTTCATTAAACTGGAAGAATATCTCACTGATGGAAAACAATTCAATTCATCAGTAAGTTTTTCCCATTCTTCCAATTCGGAAATACTAATTTACTGTTATTATCGGCCAATTGTTGAACATTATAGGGATTTCCTTTCGTGCGCTCTGAGCGATGAAAAAAAAATGATATTCTTGAAACCTTATTTCATTGTTTATTATGATTTTGTGCAGGTAATAAAAATTGCAAGAATGGATGGAGCTGATGTCTATGATTTTGTCGAAAGATCACTCAGTTGGGTGATGAAAAATTCACTATTGATGAAATATACCTGGTATGGCAGACCAACTTACTACCTTTTTTCCCTCGGTTCTCACGAAGTTCTCTGAACATTACAGGATACCCCTTTCCGTGGGAACCCGAATATAAAAAAAGAAAGTTCCCGCAATGTTGCCAGCTCATGTACTTATCCTTCCATCCATTGTTTTCCGACATGCACCGATTTCAGTTCACAACAGGTGTTCAAAATTAGCGCCATCCATTTCTTGCACGGCGTATTAATGACTCGCATCATGCTGAAAACAACCTTGTCGTCGCATTACTTGAACCACATTGTTCATTTTTTCTCTTAAAACTTCTTGGTGGCCACGGTACAGGCCTTCCACGACCAATCCATTTTCGTTGAAATTCGCCGTTCAAAAATTCCCGAACTATTGCACAGTAATGGCTAGGAGCTTCATCATGGCATAAAAAACAAATAGGAGCCCATTCATTCTTGGCGGCAACTCATGAAGTCCAATTAGAATCACGCTCACGACTCCACCCCATAGATTGATTGAAAAGCGATGTTGACAATTAGTTTGCTTAGTCACATGTGAATTTCCAACTCTCCAGTGGTGATAATTATGATGATTGAAAATACCATTTCGGTTGAATGTTGTCTCATCAGTGAGAAGAATTTCATTCAGGAAATCTGGATTGACCTTATGTTGACCTAGTATCCATTCACAGAATTGTATCCGTCGTGGATAATCTTCTGGCTGCAACGACTGCACACGCTAATAATGGAAGGGATGCTGCATGCCCTCATTCAAAGTCAGCCCGACATCTTCATTCGAAACCCCTAACTGACGACCAATGCCGCGGGTACTTGAGGTTCAATCATTTTTAAAAATGTCCAAAATTTGTTGTTCTATGTTTATAATTCTGTCTATTCTATTCCTACCGGCATCTCGACCTCTGTGAGTGCATGTTTCACCTGTATCGCGGGCTCTTTGGAGAGGTGCGAAAAACCTCTGCGACCACGGGGATGAACACAATTAGAAAACCGCTCTGCACAAAGGCGGAAGGTGGCCTCAGAATTTTGTTGCGTTTTCCCACGAATTAGAAGCATAGCTATCAATTCGTTATTTCCATGCACGTGGGCGTATGTCATTTTGAAATATCAAAATTATTAAATACAAGCACAATGCACAAATTCGTTGCACAAACGAAAATGAAAGATTTTCATAGTCTCACACAAAAAGCACAGCGGAATGAAAGCACCTAGTTAACCGACCGACCAAAGGGTCAAAACTGCCACAATCCGCAATTCTAGGTCATATTTCATTCATACTACTTGTCATGGTCAAATCTGGTAATATCACCCGTGACGTCACTTCCGTTTGGGTACGTACACCTCACTTATTACCTGCCTTTGGGTTTTTCTACTTCTGCATTTATAAAGGTGAGTTGAACTTGATTTATTTACGAATGATAAGATACTTATGTTGAAGATGGCAACGAGAACAATGAAATTAGAAATTAATGGAGTGGAGGTCGAAAGTACAAAATATCCCTCTAATCTGTGAATGAAGAGCTTTTTCAAACTAAATTTGATGTGAGAATCCTCTTTTGTAGTTTGATTGTAAATTCAATAGAGGAAGTAGCAAGTAGCCTTAAACACGTTTTGAATAACATTTGGAATAGATATTTACGTGAAGTGAGACGTTTCAAAACTTCCGTCAGTTCTGAAAAGTGTGAAATTACATGTCAAAATTATTCGTTAGCCTTTCCTTCGGCGCAGCCTGAAATCCACATAAGATCAGTTAACAATAAGCAAATCCTGGAAATTGATAACAAAGGAGCAACAAAAAAATAAATGAAGTAACATCAGTATTATAAAGGGAATATTTGAATTCGAATGTGAAAAGTGAATCACTGAAAAAAAAACAGGAAGAGAAAAATGAACATATTATATATGAAGAACAAAGGCCATAAATGTTTTTTTTAATAGTTTAATAGTTTATGGACTCTCATTCTGTTTTTTGTTGGAATGGTCAATAAAATTACATATTATTATTATTATTATTATTATTATTATATACGAGTATTCCAAACAGTAATCATAATATTATAATGCTCAAAATCAACCATATAGAAAATGACGGGCATATTTTATTATAGGTAGAGCTTCATGGTCAAAAACAAAACATCAGGGAGAATTACATGAGATTTTTCAACATTGAATGAAAATTGAATAAAAACAAAAACGAAACGCAGCTCCTTCTTAAATAATAATAATATGCTCAATCCAGGATACAAATCATCCTCATAGAATTCGAGGTAGAATACTTCATTAAATAACATAACTAGTAAGGCTTAATTCCCATCCAAGCAGCATCGAGCGGCGCGGGGCAGAGCAGAGCAGAGCAGCAAAATGCTGCTTACAATTGGATACGTATAATTCAATGGGGTCGTTTCCACCTAAGCAGAGCGTTGCAGCGCCGAACAGATCAGCGCGGCGCTGCAAAATTTTAATTTCCCGCGAAGCATTGGCATGCAGAATGTCGCTCGTAAACTCGCCGCTCTGCTTGTTGACGGACAAGTGGGAATTGGAAGATTCGCGCGCAGGCAGCAAGTTGTTCCAACTTGTTTGTTTTGATTTTAAAAGTCTGAAGTGATTGTTAACTATGGACGGAGAAAAAATTGATAAACTTATCGTTCTTGTAGCTGAATATAGTGAGCTATATGACATGGCTCATAAAAATTATAGTAACCAACATAGGAGAGAAATAATTTGGACGGAAATTGGTAACAAACTTAATGAAAAGGGTAAGTGTTAATTTATTGTATTTATATTAATTATTTAACTTATAATAAATTGTTATTGCTGTTACTATCCATTTAATACAATGTACTCATAGTTACGATGGGTCCTAGTTAAGATATAATTAGTAATGACATTTACAGGCACTATTTTGAAAACTAATAAGTAACGGGTAATTTACTTTATTTATTACCATACAATTATAAAATAACTTTACAGTTAGTTTAAGTATTTTCTATATTAATTGCATCTTCTTGCCAAGAAACTGCCCCTGAATCAGAGTTAAAATATCCCTTAAATGCATCTCGTATTTTGATTGCTTCATTGGAGCATTTTCCACCAATGTTCGATATACTTGTAAAAACTGGTGCTTCATTGTCTGTTCTCTCTTGCTCTAGTACGGTCAAGAAGACATTGTCATTTCTAAGAAAGTTATGCAAACAAAGACTAGATAAAATTATTTTATCTGCATTTTTTGGGTGAATCTGTATTTTATTTAAGAATATTCTAAACTTTTGACAAAGAATCCCAAAGGCATTTTCGGAGACTCTACGAGCTCTGGAGAGACGATAATTGAAAATTCTTTTATCTTGTGATAATCCGCGTCCTGCGTAAGGTCTCATTAAATAAGTTTTACAAGGGAACGCTTCGTCTCCCACTATTACATGTGGTAACGGTTCGCCATTTACAGTAACTGGTCGATCCTTAGGCATTCCAAATGTTCCATTGTTAAGACTCTTTCCCATATTCGAAGCAGTAAATATCCCACCATCGCTATTTTTACCGTATGCTCCAACATCCACGGCAATGAACCTGTATTCTGCGTCTACCATCGCCAATAACACTACTGAGAATGATTTCTTATAGTTGAAATACAAGGATCCACTTCTGGGAGGTGCTTGTATAGTAACATGCTTGCCATCTATCGCAGCCACACAATTAGGAAAATTCCAAGTACTTTTAAATTTGTTTGCACAATACCGAAGTAACTCTGTTGTGGGTTGTGGCATTACAATATGTCCTAGAGTCTCCCAAATAACATTGGCGGTATGATTTATAATCTTGTGTATTGTGGAGTGTCCTATTCTAAAGTTAAAAGAAAGTGTCTGGTAGTCTACCCCTGTTGCCAAAAACCTGAAAAAGAACACCATACTTAATAATGTATTCTATATAAAAATATATTTTTTTACAACTGGTTATATACTATCACACATTTTTTGTAGCCGAGGTTTGTAAGCAGAGATGGAAAACTTTAAAAGACGCTTTTCAGAGAGCAGCAAAAAACAACCAAACAAAAAGTGGACAAGCTGCTAATGGCAACAAGAAATGGAAATACTGGGATGCCATGGCTTTTCTTC